AAAGAAAGGAAGTTCTGAGGGGATTTCAGGATCGGGTTGTTGAAGGGATTTTGCCAAATTGAAAACTTGCCTTGCGGCTCTTCAAATAGCATCTTGGACAACATCAGGAGAGGGGAGGCGATCCCCTGAGAATGGCGTGTTTGGGGGAGAGACAAACACCAGCCCGGCTTGTGTGACCTTCTTTGTGACAATAATGACCCTGGGGCAGGGGGACAGGGGGTGGCCACGCTGGGTTTTCCATCCCAGTGAGAAGGTCCAGCCAATATCTGCAGGGAACGGGGACATCTCTGCCACGGATGAGCTTTTAATTGCATCTCATCTGAGGGACCAGCAGTTGGTGGGCGTAATGGCTATGTTGCTGGACTCCCATGTAGTCGACCATGGTTTGAGTCCCAGACCCGGTCGCTTTAAAACTCACGCCAGGCACGTTTGCGTGCATGCCCAAGATCCCGAGAGGAGAATGGAGGAGAAGGGATTGTGGCGTGGCCATTCCACCTGGGGGGTGATTTCTCGCTCTCTGTCTCTCTGTCTCTGTCTTTCTGGCGAGCGCACACACCTTATAGCAAAAACCTCTCCAAAAAAAATCAGCATCGCATTTGATAGTGTTCCCCAAAGTCAGGCGTCAGGACTAGCCAGATCAGGCGTGGGAATCATGCCCACCTGGGGTGGAGGTCCCCCTAAGGACAGAGGCTCTGGATTTTTCAGACAAGTGGGAGAAACATTCTTTTTTCACGCATGACTCTGTCAACTGGACACCTCCAAAGGAAAAACTGGTGTGCCTTCTCTGCACCTCCTGCTAATCCGATCATGAGAAATCACCACCAATGCTTGCAAAGCCAGTGAAATCTTAAGGACCAGCAATGGCATAATGGCTATGTTGCTGCACTCCCATATAGTCGACCGTGGTTCGAGTCCCAGACCCGGTGACTTAAACTTACACCGGGTGTGTGTGCGTGTGTGCCCAAGATCCCGAGAGGAGAATGGAGGAGCAGGGATTGCGGTATGGGCATACCCCGGGGGGGAGGGGTGATTTCTCGCTTTCTGTCTCTCTGTCTCCCTGTCTCTCCGGTGAGCACAGGCTCCCCAAAACAAAAATCTCTTAAAAAAATAAATAAATAAAAGCCAGTAAAATCTGTCGGGCCAAGAGTTGCAAACATTCTTTGCTGCTCTGGCCACCAAGACACTTCCAATTCCGAATTTCCCATCAAACACAGCTCAGAAGGGAATTCATTCGTTTGTGTGGGCGAAGGTGGGGAGGAGGAATAGCGAGTAGCACAGAGTGGGGCTGAGGATGGCTGTGCAGAGTGTAGACTGACCCCGGCTACCCTGTGAATCCTGCAAGGTCTCTGGACATTCTAACTCGGCCAAGACCTCAGGAGGCTCCTGGCTGGTTGACATAAGCGTAAAAACCATGTAATTCTCAGCAGCAACGTTTAAAAAAAAAATAAAATAAAAAATAGAGAAAGAGAGACATGAAAGGGAAAGAAAGCTGCCCGTTCTGTCCAGCTCTGAAATGTGGGTGACATGGTACCCCGTGGATGCTCACGCTGCAGCTTTGATGCAGGAGCCAAGCACGGAGCAAGTGGTATTGGGGGTGTCGATCCACGCCCCTCCATGGAAAACCTGAGCTCACTTGAATGCCATAAATGCCACCAGCCACCGTCTGGTTGGGAAGTAAAGACTGTTCAGACCATGGGAATTGAGGAGGAGGCCCAGGGTGCCAGGAAGGAGACTGTATAAAAACCGCTCTGGAGGGGGACCAGCAGATAGCATAGCAGCTATGTCGCTGGACTCCCATGTAGTCGACTGCGGTTCGAGTCCTGAACCCAGTGACTTAAACTCCTGCCGGGTGTGTGTGCGTGCGTGCCCAAGATCCCGAGAGGAGAATGGAGGAGAAGGGATTGTGGCATGGCCATCTCCCAGGGGGGTGATTTTTTGCTGTCTCTCTGTCTCCCTGTCTCTCTTTCTGGTAAGCTCTTGTGCCCTATATCAAAAATCTCTTTTAAAAAAATGTTCTAGAGGGGACCAGCAAATGGCATAATGGTTATATTGCATGACTGACCGTGGTTCGAGCCCCAGACCTGGAGGCTTGAAACTCATGCCGGGCGCGTGTGCATGTGTATCCAAAATCCCAAGAGGAGAATGAAGAAGGGACTTGTGACCATCGGGGGGGAGGGGTGATTTCTCGCTTTCTGTCTCTCTGTCTCCCTGTCTCTCCGGTGAGCACAGGCTCCCCAAAACAAAAATCTCTTAAAAAAATAAATAAATAAAAGCCAGTAAAATCTGTCGGGCCAAGAGTTGCAAACATTCTTTGCTGCTCTGGCCACCAAGACACTTCCAATTCCGAATTTCCCATCAAACACAGCTCAGAAGGGAATTCATTCGTTTGTGTGGGCGAAGGTGGGGAGGAGGAATAGCGAGTAGCACAGAGTGGGGCTGAGGATGGCTGTGCAGAGTGTAGACTGACCCCGGCTACCCTGTGAATCCTGCAAGGTCTCTGGACATTCTAACTCGGCCAAGACCTCAGGAGGCTCCTGGCTGGTTGACATAAGCGTAAAAACCATGTAATTCTCAGCAGCAACGTTTAAAAAAAAAATAAAATAAAAAATAGAGAAAGAGAGACATGAAAGGGAAAGAAAGCTGCCCGTTCTGTCCAGCTCTGAAATGTGGGTGACATGGTACCCCGTGGATGCTCACGCTGCAGCTTTGATGCAGGAGCCAAGCACGGAGCAAGTGGTATTGGGGGTGTCGATCCACGCCCCTCCATGGAAAACCTGAGCTCACTTGAATGCCATAAATGCCACCAGCCACCGTCTGGTTGGGAAGTAAAGACTGTTCAGACCATGGGAATTGAGGAGGAGGCCCAGGGTGCCAGGAAGGAGACTGTATAAAAACCGCTCTGGAGGGGGACCAGCAGATAGCATAGCAGCTATGTCGCTGGACTCCCATGTAGTCGACTGCGGTTCGAGTCCTGAACCCAGTGACTTAAACTCCTGCCGGGTGTGTGTGCGTGCGTGCCCAAGATCCCGAGAGGAGAATGGAGGAGAAGGGATTGTGGCATGGCCATCTCCCAGGGGGGTGATTTTTTGCTGTCTCTCTGTCTCCCTGTCTCTCTTTCTGGTAAGCTCTTGTGCCCTATATCAAAAATCTCTTTTAAAAAAATGTTCTAGAGGGGACCAGCAAATGGCATAATGGTTATATTGCATGACTGACCGTGGTTCGAGCCCCAGACCTGGAGGCTTGAAACTCATGCCGGGCGCGTGTGCATGTGTATCCAAAATCCCAAGAGGAGAATGAAGAAGGGACTTGTGACCATCCTTCCTGAAGGGTGATTTCTTGTTTTCTGTCTGTCTCTGTCTCTCTGGTGAGTACACATGCCCCAAAGCAAAAATCTCCCAAAACAACAATGAAAACAAAATGCCCTAGAACCAGACCCAAGGAACTTGGCTCTTTCTCAGGGAAAGGAAGGCCTTCCCTGGGGGAGACCCTCTTTTCTGCTCCTTGAGGAAGGCCAAGGCCTGTGTGACCTCAATCACCCTAATTCCCCTTAGAACGAAAGCATGCTTTCCCTGCAGCCAGAATCTCTGAATGCTTTTGACCTCAGC